CCGGCTGCACGCACGAAAAAACATGACTCATCGAGGCGTTCCGTTTAAGGCTTGAAGTGCAAGCGAGAGCGCGCAACGAGCGACAAAGAAGCACAATCGGCCTCCGCGTTCGGCAGCATTCGACATCTGTTTTTTATTGCTTGGATGGGTGGACGAGCTCACAGCCCACCAGATAAAACAAGAAACAACTTGTCCACTGTTGATGAAGATGGGTTAAATTTCACATTTCAAAAGCGGTTTTGTAAATATCTTTTAGTTTGGCGCGTTTATCAATCGGTTACTTCCCGATATATGTTTTTTTATTGCTTAGATGGGTGGACGAGCTCACAGCCCACCTGATGTTAAGTGGTTACTGGAGCCCACAGACATCTACAATGTAAATGCGCTTGAGATATAAGTTCTAAGGTCTCAGTATAGTTACAACGGCTGCCCCATCCTTCAAACCGAAACGCATTACTGCTTCACGGCTGAAATAGCCAGGGTGGTGGTACCTACCCGTGCGGACTCACAAGAGGTCCTACCACCAGTAAAAAGTTTGTTCGCTGCATTTATTTAATTTAATTACACAGTTTTTTCCTTTGTTTTTCCCTTAATTTCTGAAGTCATTCGTGGACACGCGTCCCATACCGAATAAGTTTTCAAAGCAAAATATTTAATCACGAATAAAACAATATAAACCCGGCCCGAGAACCTGAAAAGAATCGTTGTATGCAAATGGAAAATTCTCGAAATTAAGTTTAAACTTGTCGCCGTAAACGGATTTGTTCTCGGTACGTTATTTAATTCTCTTGTAAAAGTTTTAATGAGAAGCGGACCCAACGAAACTCGCGAGCGCCCCTTTCTCTTCTCCGCTACACCTCTGAACTGATAAGATGAAAAAATACGAACATCTCTCTGAGGAAATCATCTTCCCCGTCACTCTAAAAGGGTTAATTAAGTTGATTTAATCGTTTTTTTTTTGTAGTATAGGACGGGAATTCACCGCGTGGATGTTTAGGTTCCTTGTGCAGATTCTCAGCACCAAATCTATAATACATATGCGAGTGTTTACTACTCTTTGTAGTGCAAGTATGTTATATACTCATGAAGCAAATAACGATTCGAGAAATTAAATTATATAGCTACTTAAAACTATAATAATAATAATAATAAATTTTATTTCAGAATGAAATTCCATATGACTTTTTTTTTTTTATAAATAAATATAAATATTTACTAACAATCACGCCACATTAACTGGTCCCGTGATAAGTTCGTAAAGAACTTGTGTAACGGAAATAAATGTAAGATTTTATTATACACATACATATATTTAATATACATCCATAACCCTGGAAAAGACATTTATATTTATCATACAAATATCTTCCCTTGGCGGGATTCGAACCCGCAACCTCCTTGTGTAGTGACCATGTCACTTACCACTACACCAGACGGCCGAAGTGTTTTAATAATAGAAAATCTTGAAGTATTAGTAATACAAAATCTTAAAAAGCAGTACATTTTATTTATTTTACATTGACCATGGCTGGTCTTGAGCCAACATCGACTTCATTCCAGTGCCTCAGTATAGGGCAGCAATATGTTCGATGAGAATTATTTTGCCAAATCCATGAAAAGTAAGTTACGTTAAGATTTTTAAAAACATTAATAGTCGTTTTGTTATAATTTATTGCCTTGTAGGCAGACGAGTCTACGGCCCACCTGATGGTGAGTGGTTACCGTTAGTCATCGACGTCAGCAATACCAGAGGTAGAGATGTATTCGGGATATCTTCAATTGCATTACTTGTCAACATTTACAAGGACGATTAAGATGCCCATATTTTTGTTATTGATTGGGATTCATACGCTACTAATTTATATTTTATTTTTATTACGTATATGTGTGGTCGAGCTCACAGCCCACCTAATGTTAAGTGGTTACTGGAGCCCAAAGACATCTACAACGTAAATGCGCCACCCACCTTGAGATATAAGTTCTAAGGTCTCAAGTACAGTTACAACGGCTTCCCCACCCTTCAAACCGAAACGCATTACTGCTTCACGGCAGAAATAGGCAGGATGGTGGTACCTACCCGCGCGGTCTCACAAGAAGTCCTACCACCAGTAAAAAACTACTTATTAGATTGTTTAGTAAATAGATTCAAACGAAAAAGTATATAATATGGGGCAGCTAAACAGAAAGGTATCCACCGAAATCCCAAAATAGATTGGCTGTGGGCAGGCAACTTAATGAGCAACTCCACTCTCCGATGCCAGTGGAAAATAAATAGTTCTCGACGTAGGTAGTTAATTATGTTTGAGGAAATAGGCGCCCTGGGTATCGTGTTATTGCGTAAAACGTATGTTTCTCTTTTTGATATGATTCTATCTCTATAATAATATATAAAAATGAATTGCTGTTCGTTAGTCTCGCTAAAACTCGAGACGGCTGAACTAATTTGGCTAATTTTGGTCTTGAATTATTCGTGGAAGTCCAGAGAAGATTTAAAAGGTAGACAAATATGAAAATGCTCGGAATTAAATAAAAATAATTATTTTGTTTTTCCTTTCATGTGTCCTCCGTCGGACGAATTCCTTTTGTTTGTTTTAAGTTTATTTTATACAAAAGTTTAGGTCTTTTATTTATCGATTGAGGCACTACAAAGTCTGCCGGGTCAGCTAGTCTACAATAAAATAAAAATTATCGCATGAGTGGGTGGACGAGCTCACGAATCACCTGGTGTTAAGTGGTTACTGGAGCCGATAGACATCCACGACGTAAATGCGCCACCCACATTGAGATATCAGTTCTAAGGTCTCAGTATAGTCACAACGGCTGTCCCACCCTTCAAACCGAAACAAATTACTGCTTCACGGCCGAAATAGGCAGGGCGGCGGTACCCACCCGTGCGGACTCACAAGAGGTCCTACCACCAGTATAATTTACAATGTATACTTTAATAATTCGATTTTCATGATCCGTTAATCAAAATATTATTATCGTAGGCGATGATTCCAATTCTATTAGTGATAATGTGATAGTTAATATTTGTTAAATACGTATTTCATTAGAAAAGCGGTAGTTGCCAGCGTGATTCGAACACCGGTGCATCGCTACATACGAATGCACCGGACGTCTAAATAATAATACTACTAATAGCAAACGTAATTCAGGAATTCGAACGTTGATATGGATGTGTGAATTAAAAAGAATGGACAAAATTATTATAGTACTAGCTTTTGGCCGCGACTTCGTCCGCGTGGAATAGTTACTTTGGCATAACGCTAAATTTTACCCGCGACTTCATTTACAGTAGGTACTCAGGATTGGAACTTCATTACTGAACTGGTAAACGGCGTTGAAGAAGCTAGATTTTGAGATTTTTTGACAAACAATATTTTAATTTTTCTTAAAAAAAAAATTTTTTTTTCTTAATAAAAACTGTCCTATGTTACTTTTAATACCTCCAAGAATATGTGTACAAAGTTTCATGATGATCGGTTGAGTAGTTTTCGCGTGAAAGCGTAACAAACAAACTTACATTCACATTTATATATTAGTAGGGATATAAGAGGAAGTCTGAATTTTCACCAGTGATAGAGAACCTTTATTCTCTATTAGGTATATATAGCAATGATACTCAATAATTCCTTATTAAATGGAAGCTTTATCATGTCTGGGGTCATGTTAAAACATAACAAAAAGTAAAAAAATCTATACATATAAATAAAATTGGAGTGTCTCTTTGTAATATTATAATAACCGCTTTTTACTACATGCATATGAATATATAGGTATATACGGTACATACACCAAAATGACATTGACAATTTTTTTCTGTCTGTCTGTCTGTCTGTCTGTTTGTTCCGGCTAATCTCTGGAATGGCTGGACCGATTTTCCACGGGACTTTCACTGATAGGTGATGATATAAGGAGTAACTTATACTAGCTTCCCCCCGCGGCGATACGACAATAACCGCGGGTAGCATCGCGGGACTCGGCTAGTCAAAAAGGATGCAGCGATCGTGGTGTCGGTCTGGACAGCCAACATTTGTATTAAACTAATCAACTACAGATCAATGACGAATCGTTATTTAGGATTCAGAAGAAAAACCATTTAACAATAATAACAATTTAAACATCACAAAATTTGTTATTCTGAAACTCTAATTAATTGACTCTAATTCATTAATTGACTCTAATTCATTAATTGACTCTAATTCATTAATTGACTCTAATTCAACATAAATATTGACATAAATCACCAGATAACCAGAATACAGAATAAACACATTGGTATTATCTTGAATTTAAACACACATTTACAGAGACATAGAACAATGAGTCACGCAAACCATGTCCACGACTATCTTCCCTCATGAACGCCACCGATCGAATGAATACCTATATTTCGTTTTTTTTCCCCTACCTATGCTGATAGCCTTGAGAGGCTATTTCAGCTTACCCTAGCGTGTGTAGGTGAGCTCACGGGGCTCAAACCTGAGGACGTTGCTAACACGAACATTTGAAGAAGAACTGAATTATAATCACTAATTAATATTAGAAAATATTTGTGAAAAAACTGTGCTCATCAAACTTCCTAAGTGCTCCAATACAATTGAGGTTAACTATCCGTATCTATTATTTAGTAATATAAATGACAAAATTATTATTTGATATAATTCATACTAAATATTATTAAATTATTAACGTTAAATATTTATTATTATTTACTTAATATTTTAAAAAAAAGTAATAAATTTAATAAAAATAAAGTATAACTTCTTACGCGCGTACGTACATAAGTACACATCATCATCATCATCAGCCTTTATCTGCCCACTGCTGGACATAGGCCTTCCCCAATGCCTTCCACATAATGCGGTCCTTTACGCGCAACCTTTTTTTTCTTTCTTACTGCATTGACGGACGGAGATCTAAAAATAGCATCTTAAGAGATAACAGATTAACTAATTACTAAGATATCGTGTGAAATTTAAGATCCCATTATAATTCTAATTCGTTCTTCGTATGAATTCGTATTTGGATTTTGTATCTCGGAGACTGAAAGCGCTTCTCTCGAATCTCTCCGGTTTATACTTCTGGGGTTTCAAGGTATACTTGCGCAGTAGCCAGGTAATACAGGCCTTCATTTGGAGACGTGAGAATCTGGCACCTGGAATAAAAAAACGCTGTCAGTCATGAGATATTTGCCGATTTTTACGTTTTAATTTGATAAAATAGGAAAGCGTTTAAATTTTGAAGTCGTCGTGGCCTAACAGATAAGATGTCCGGTGCGTTCGTGTTGAGCGCGATGCACCGGTGTTCGAATCTCAGGCGGGTATTAATTTTTCTAATGAAATACGTACTCAACAAATGTTCACGATTGACTTCCACGGTGAAGAAATAACATCGTGTAATAAAAATCAAACCCGCAAAATTATAATTTGCGTAATTACTGGTGGCAGGACCTCTTGTGAGTCCACACGGGTAGGTACCACCGCCCTGCCTATATCTGCCGTGAAGCAGTAATGCGTTTCGGTTTGAAGGGTGGGGCAGCCGTTGTAACTATACTTAGAACTTATATCTCAAGGTGGGTGGCGCATTTACGTCGTGGATGTCTATGGGCTCCAGTAACCACTTAACACCAGGTGGGCTGTGAGCTCGTCCACCCATCTAAGCAATAAAAAAAATTAATAAAAATATTGAATACCACAGATTACGGAATCACGTTTATATCATTTTCCCTAACAATTATACACTGGCATGATAGTCAAATTCGATTTTTGCTTAAATGAAAGCTAATTGAGTTTATAAAAAGATAAATTATCTGTATAGTTTGAAAGTGAAAAATACGAGTGCTTTATTATTCAATTAGACTTGAATTACATTAGTATTGAATTCTTTTCATCGATTTTGATACATACTATCTTGTTATTAAATCATCTTGTTATTAACTATATTGTTATTAAATCATGGACGTACTATCTTGCTATTAAATCATGGTAAGGTGGTTTTTTATTTTTTTTATTATTTTTTTATTGCTTTTGTAGGCAGACGGGCATACGGCCCACCTGATGGTGAGTGGTTACCGTCGCCCATGGCCTTCAGCAATGGCAGGGGCAGAGCCAAGCCGCTGCCTACCGGTTTTATTTTGGTATCGTGTATTTTCCATACTAATCCAACCGAATTTATCAGCTACGCTTATGTTTAATTTACAGATAGATGTATCGCCTATGCCTTGGACATTTTGTCCTCAACCAGAGTGGCGTCATTTACACTGTGATATTTTAATTGTGTAATGAGAATGATATCATAGCAATGATACTCAATGACGACCATGACCGCTCTGGCAAGAGTGATACAGCAAAAGGAAATAATTTAATTATCTGCGTCTGATATTCCATTAATATCTAAATTGACTCAGAAGAACTGTTTGCTGAGGCACTTTAGCTTAAACTAGTGGTCACTCGGTAGTTGAAATCAGACTATAATTAATTTAAATTATAAGTTTGAACATTATTAAGGGTCTATTGTCAAAGACTACGAGTATCATAGACCTCTATCTATATATTAAAACGTGAAGCAAAAACTTTGTGTTCCTTTTTACGAAATTTGCGCGGACGGAGGAGTATGAAGTTTTCCACGCTTATCGAGAATATAGAGAAGAAGTGCACAATGCTAATTTTTTTTTAAATAATGCCTAAAAGATACATTAAATCAATAAAGAAAACATTACACACACTACATACTTATGTATTTGACGCACACACGCATGCCTATTATTTATTGTCAAACTTTTGTTCTTGGCGTCTGTTGTCAAATTGAGAATAGAATAAATATTGTTTGTCTTTGTTAATATTTTTTATAGTATAGTCTTGGCGAAATTTGTGATTATAGTGTGAGTTTAAAATACAATCATAATTGTGTACAAACTTACAATTCCAATTAATTATAGTCGAATTTCAACTACTGCGGGACCTCTAGTATTAACAAATTTCGCCAAGGCTATATATACTATAGATAAATAATGTTGAAGACAAACAATAACAATCTATTCTGAATTTGAGCACAGACTCTAACAATAAACAAAAGAGTATATATGCGTGTGTGTGTGTGTGTGTGTGTCAAATAAATGGTAGTGTGTGTAATGGTTTTTTTTATTGATTTAATGTATTTTTTATGTTTTTATGTTTAAATTATATAAAAAAATATTAGCATTGTGCACTCCTCTGTATTCTCTATAAGTGTGAAAAATTTCATACTCCTCTATCCACGCAATTTTCGTAAAAAAGGTACAACGTTTTATTCACGTATTAATATACAGATTAAAAATGTTTTAACTTCATTAAACGTATTTTGTTTTTAGAATCGAATATATGTATTTTAGAACTCACCGATGCAAATCCGGTTTCCCTCACCGAACGCCAAGTAACTGAACTTGTTTCTTTCCTTAATATTTTCTGGAGTGAACCGTTCCGGATCGAAAACATCTGGATTGGGATAGAATCTCTCGTCTCTGTGTATCGCTAAAATTGGAACAACTGTTACCGTGTCCTTGCTTATCCTAAGATTGTTGCTGGGAAGAATTGCGTCTTTGGTACAGAGTCTTTGTATGAAGCCGATCGGTGGATATTTCCTCATAGCCTCACTGATCACCATGTCCATGTACGTCAGTCGATCTATGTCCTCGAAAGTCAATACTTCTGTCCCCTTTGGAAGGACAGTATCGATTTCTGCGTGAAGCTTGTTCAATACATGAGGGTTGGCAGATAGTTCTAGAAGAATGAAATGAATTGCGTTCGCGGTCGTGTCGGCTCCGGCAACGTAGAAGAAGAACGATTGGGCTGCTATCACTTCATCAGTTGGTTCCATTTCGAAGCCCGTCACGACGTCTCTCAGACGGCCACTGCTCTGCATATCCAGGTAGACGTCAACTATGTCTAACCTCTTATCTAACTTACGGCGATTCTTTAATACCTTTTTAACGGCACCGATGAAAACGTCTTCGTATTCACCAAAGAAAGTCATATTAAGCCACCTGAAGAGTCTCGGGAATGTGCTGCCAATGAAAAATACGATGTTTGCTTTGAGCGAGGGCTTGAGTGCATTGCCCGCTACGTGTGATAGAGGTAAGTCTATAAGGCTCTCTCCTTTCTCGTCGAGTCCAAACACTGCGACCCCAATTGATGCGGTAGTGTATTTGAGTACTGCATCGAAAGGTTCTTTTATTGCACGTTCGTCAGTAGCGATATAATCGGTGAAGTCGCGGGAGGTCTTCTCAATGGCTTCATACATGGCCTTGAGCCGAAGGCTACTAAAGGCAGGGGACAGCTTCTGTCTGAGGATCTTCCAACGAGGCAGATCGTCCAAAAAAAGCATGTTTCCTCCGAGCACGTCGGCATCGTTCACAGCGAAGCCGCGCCGATAAAAGCTCTGGAAGTTGCTTGCCAACACGGCCTGGACGTCCTGGAGATCTCTGAGGACCAGCGCCGGACTGGCCCCCAGATGGAAACCGATTTGATTTTCATTGTATTTGTCGTAGATTTGTTTATAATATTCGGGCAGGGAACAATTACCGAAAGTAAATTTCAACACAGTACCATTCACTTCGCGTACATTCCTCTTTTTCCAATAATTACTCGATTGCCAATATAATATGAGAATGGCCACAAGAGAAACTATAACAAGTACTGGTAGCATTATTGATCAAGCTTCGTTCATCACTAGTCTACTAATGTTTGTTGTCGCTGTGCGTCCGGTACACATATTAAGTAAATGTTGTTAGTTCTCAATGTGTGGATGCGATATAGATAAGGGACATTTGAGTTCATAATATTTTTATTATATTGAAGAAAATAATTATGTAATGAATGATTGAATGTCAATCTGTCATATGACAATTGATAGTTGTTTAAATAATTTTTCGGTTAATGGACGTTGTGAAATGTGTGTTAAAGAATTATTGAAGAAAGGGCATTAAATGTTGTTTCTTGTTGTTTAGAAGAAACGCAATTTCGTCTTTTCTTATTTAAATACCGTAATTACCATTATAATTATATGTACATAAGATATATAAACAGAAAGTTAACATTCTCACTGGCAATGATTACATGTTTTTTTAAATTCAGTAGTAAATTAAGTTATATTCAAAGTCAATTTAATGAAAAAGACAAACTCTGGATTTTAAGCTACGTCTATTAAACGTATCTTCATTTTTCATTTTATTAACATTATTTTTATTTACATTTTTATTTACTACTAGCGATCCGCCCTCGCTTCGCTTCGGAAACATTAAATTTTTATTATTGATAGCTGAGTCCCGCGATGCTACACGCCGTTATTGTCGTACCGCGGGTGACGCCGCGGGGCGAAGATAGTCTAAAAAAAGTAGCTTAAATTATTTCTTATATCATCAGCTTCCTGTCAGTGAAAGTCCCGTCAAAATTGGTCCAGCCGCTCCAGAGATTAAGCGGGATAAACAAACAGACAGATAGACAGACAAAAACTGTAAAACATGTTATTTTGGTGTATGTACCATATATATATTCATATGCATGTAGTAAAAAACGGTTATTTCAATATTACAAACAGACACTCTAATTTTATTTTTATGTATAGATGAGAATATTAACGAGTCAACCAAGGGTGGTGTCTACACCAGAGAGTATGTGCGGTACAGTATAGTACATGCATTTAACCCCCAATATTACTGATAGATCGGTGAAAGGGCTCATTTATTTATTTATTGGTGTTAAGTAGACACCGGAGCTCACACATACGTGCAACAGTATTTTTTTGATTACTGGTGGCCCGGAGGCTTATTCAGTTTCACCAGGACAGGTGGGCGAGTAAAGGCTCAGCCAGGTAACAGTACTATAACTGGTATTTTATTATATTAGTATATAGTACTTTAACTGGTGGTAGGACCTCTTGTGAGTCCGCGCGGGTAGGTACCACCACCCTGCCTATTTCTGCCGTGAAGCAGTAATGCGTTTCGGTTTGAAGGGTAGGGCAGCCGTTGTAACTATATTGAGATCTTAGTACTTATACCTCAAGGTGGGTGGCACATTTACGTTGTAGATGTCTATGGGCTTTAGTAACCACTTAACACCAGGTGTGCTGTGAGCTCGTACACCCAGCTAAGCAATAAAAAAATAAAAAAAACTATATATGCCGTTGAAGATTTAAGATTTTTCACAAGCGCATCGTTTGGTATCTCGTCCGCAGGGCCACGGGCCTCGCAATATTTTCTACTTGTATAGTGTAATAATAATTAAAAATAAAACAAAACTTTGTTGGCAGTAACTTAGCTCTGCTTCTGGAATTTTTGACGTTCCTGAGAGACGGTAACCACTCACCATCGGGAAACCCTAGAGATTTTTTGTACAATAAAAACGAACAATCCACTGAATAGATTATTCTCCTTTATTCATAAACCCATTTTTGTTTTGTTCAGCAATCGCTGGCAAGCATTAGTGTTATCATTTAAAAAAAATGTACTTAGAAAAATTAAGAGAGAGAAAGCGATGCTTATTTAGTGGTGGTAGGACCTCTTGTGGGTCCGCGCGGGTGGGTACCACCACCCTGCCTATTTCTGCCGTGAAGCAGGAATGCGTTTCGGTTTGAAGGGTGGGGCAGCCGTTGTAACTATACTTGGGACTTTAGAACTTATATCTCAAGGTGGGTGGCGCATTTACGTTCCGGATGTCTATGGGCTCCAGTAACCACTTAACACCAGGTGGGCTGTGAGCTCGTCAACGCACAAAGCAATAAAAAAAGAAGAATTATAATGAGACTAAATTTTCAAGTTTCCGTCCCTATCTACTGTCTAATTTCGTCGACACATCAAACTCTATACCGTTTTTAAAGACAAAAGTAATATTGTGTCTTTAAAATAGAGTTTACATTTTTGTCGTCACTGTACCTGTGAAACAAGTTTGAGTCTAAAAGCAGTTTGTTTATTATTAAAATCACCACATTAATTCTGCAATATCATGCTTACTTTCAAGTTTTTCATTTTAATTAATGTCGAGTCATGCTTCGTAAGCATTGATATGAACTCACAAGCGAGACGGTAACATAGAGTCCTCTGATAAACTTTTTTTAAAGGTCACTTTTGTTTCGAGATTGTAAAAAAAGTTCTTTGGACGTTATTAAGGTGCCGATGTCTTCTCCCTTACCTCAGGATTTTCGATAATACTTAGTCTCTCCATAAATACTGTTACAATTAAATATAAACAAAATATTACATTTGAATTTGGAATCTGTCATTTTTATATGATTGCTCATAGAGTTTTCTCATTTTGGCGTCAATACATTGTACAATATTTTGCGATGTTAAAATGGAGTGGGGTGATAAAGAGAACCGATTCGCTGTGATTGCATTACACAAAGTAGGTAGGGAGCCAAATGCAATTTTTAAAACTCTCCATACGCTTGGTATTAGTAAAATGTTTGTGTACCGGGCTATTAATAGGTGCAATGAGACCTCCTCTGTTTGTGACAGAAAAATATCTGGCCGTCCACGTAGTGTTCGTACGAAAAAGGTGGTCAAAGCAGTAAGGGAAAGAATTCGAAGAAATCCTGTCCGAAAGCAAAAGATTTTATNCTCCTCTGTTTGTGACAGAAAAATATCTGGCCGTCCACGTAGTGTTCGTACGAAAAAGGTGGTCAAAGCAGTAAGGGAAAGAATTCGAAGAAATCCTGTCCGAAAGCAAAAGATTTTATCTCGGGAGATGAAGATAGCACCTAGAACCATGTCGCGTATTTTAAAAGATGACTTAGGACTTGCAGCCTATAAGAGACGTACCGGTCATTTCTTAACTGATAATTTAAAAGAGAATAGGGTGGTAAAATCGAAACAACTATTGAAGCGGTACGCAAAGGCAGGTCATAGAAAAATTTTGTTTACGGATGAGAAATTTTTTACAATTGAGCAACATTTTAACAAAAAAAATGACCGTATTTATGCTCAAAGCTCTAAGGAAGCTTCCCAATTAGTCGACAGAGTGCAACGTGGGCACTATCCGACTTCAGTGATGGTTTGGTGGGGTATTAGCTATGAAGGAGTGACTGAGCCATACTTTTGTGAAAAAGGTATCAAAACATCGGCACAAGTGTATCAAGATACTATTCATGTGAAGGTAGTGAAGCCCCTTAACCACACCATGTTCAATAATCAAGAATGGTCCTTCCAGCAAGACTCGGCGCCAGGTCATAAAGCTCGGTCTACGCAGTCTTGGTTGGAAACGAACGTTTCGGACTTCATCAGAGCTGAAGACTGGCCGTCGTCTAGTCCCGATCTTAATCCGCTGGATTATGATTTATGGTCAGTTTTAGAGAGTACGGCTGGCTCTAAACGCCATGATAATTTGGAGTCCCTAAAACAATCTGTACGATTGGCAGTGAAAAATTTTCCCATGGAAAGAGTGCGTGCTTCTATTGATAACTGGCCTCAACGTTTAAAGGACTGTATTGCAGCCAATGGAGACCACTTCGAATAAGCTTTTTATACTTTAAATTGTTTTATATTTATATATTAAAGTAACACACTGTAAAAGTAATTAATGTTATTTGCAATAGATTTTTTTAATTTTTTTATTGTAACAGTATTTATGGCCAGACTAAGTATATACGAACGGCCATCTTTAGTGTGGAGTTAAATGGATGTATTTGGGATCCTGACACAGAGATGGGAATAGCATTTCAAGCAAAGCTTCGGAAAAGATAATTAAAAATTTCGTTAAAACCTTTATATCAATTTGTTTGTTTTGTTGTTGTTATTTATATCAATATGTTTAGATAAATCAGTGTGCATGGTGCGAGCTCTTTGACGTACTCGTTATCGTAAAAGTTAAGTCGAATTTGTGTGCAGTTGGAACAGCGCCTCTAGCGGCAAACGTAGGCAAACGTTCAAACTCCATACAAATTTCAGTTAACTTTTACGCTATCGAAAACGTTAAAAAACTCGCACTAAGCACACAGGTACGAAACTAAAAACAGTACAGAGGTGAGTAATGTATTCGATCGTGTGTCTCTTCTAGCGGATAAATCCGGTGACTCCTCAACACCAAATGAACCGTGAGCTCGTTCTACGTCCGATTAAATAATAAATTAACATTCTGAAGTAACTGAACTCTCTTCGAGAATAGATATACTATGAAAATGACAAATTTGTAGCGTTTTTGTTTTTGTGTTCAAAGACACAGCTTGGTTTATATTATTATCTTTAGTGATCGTAGGTAGCAATAGCTAATTATACCATCTAATAATAATAATAATAGCTTTTTTATTCCTAAACATAGGGTTACAAGAGGTCCCTAAGTTCGGTGTGCCTTTTGGCATAGGCCTCCTCCAATTCCTTCCAATGGGTCCTATCCCTTGCTACTCTCAGCCAGAATGGTCCCGATGTCTGCTTCAAGTCACCTTCCCATCTCCTGATTTGACGACCCCTACTTCGTTTGCCGTCTCTTGGTTGCCAGAGGGTGATTTGCTTGCTCTCATCTACCTCCTACCCATTAGATACAAACCCCCCTTTATTTCTGCCGCGAAACCATTGTACTATAACTCTTATTTCAAGGTGGATGTCGGCATTTACGCAGCATAACAGCAGGTGGTCTGCGTGCTCGTTCACCTGTCATACATACATTAATAATTTTTTTCACCGCCTTAAGTGCGGTGGCACTTAGTTAGCACCGAAG